CCCCAAAACCCCAAAACCCCAAAACCCCAAAACCCCTCAGTGAGTTTCATTAATCGAAACAAACAATATTATTTTAAGCTCTAGGAAAAACAATATGTCATTATTTTGTAGACCAATTATACCTAGGACGGTAGAAGCTGTTCATGTCTGTGTGCATAGGTATTTAAGCATACATATTTCCAATCCCTGAATTTGAGTCGTAAATTTTAACAGGTTCGTAGGCCTCAACAGGTTGGTAGCCCTTATTTGATGGAGCGAAATTATTGATTCTTTTCCTTCTAGCTCTGCTAAGCCCTTTCCTTGTAGGTACTCTATCTCTGCTGAGGGTATTTCTTCTCTTCTGCTGTAGCTTGATATTTCACTTAGCTTCTTCATCAATAATTCTTGGGTTCACATCTTCATTTTTAAAGAGAAAATCTCTCTGACGATCTTGAGAGCTCTTAAATCCATTCTCATTATAGTCAATGAAAGATGAACTCTGATCATAAGTCTCGTTGTCATGCTTGATGTTGATAGGAACGGAGACAAATTCACTCTTGTGGATATCACTGAAGAAATTTGGTGTTATCTCAGTTGAATCCTCTTCTTGATCATTTGACATCTCAGGAATCTAGAGTAACAGCACAATTCTTACATCCATAATGTTGGTGTGAGGCTTGCCATAAGCATTCTGTTTATTCTAAGTTACTAATTAAACCAAAAGTAATGGGCTGGATTTTAGAACGTTTATATTCCGCTATTCTGCACCTATCTTCTTTGGAAAGGTAGAAAAATTGTCTAGAAAAGGCTGTTCGAACTAAAAGAGAATCATCAAAGGCAGATAGTCTTGTCCGAAATCAGGGAACTTACTAGCTTTCTCTATGATGTACTTATCATAATTGGTTCCTTTAATAGACCCTTTATTTATAAAAACACTGAGCTGTTTTAAGGATCACAGGGGGTAAGTTGTTCTTTACAAATGGGTTTGACTTGCTATTCAGGTAATCAGGGGACTTTTTCCCATCTTTAGGCTTTGTGATCTTCCACCCACTGGAATTTAGCTCGGCTATATTTTGGTTACCCGGGGATTCAAATTCATTTTGGCTATTAGGGGATTTCCTAAAGCCAGATTTCCAGTTAAACTTTAGGTCACTTCTTCACCTACTCTGGAAGGATCCCTTTTTGTGCATGGCTGGATGAGCGGTAATCAAAAACTGATTATTTCCTTTCTTGACTTTCTTTCTGTGGTCTCCTGTTCCAGATTTTTGATTACTGGAATAATCGCTGTTGTTTGAGTACATATTACTCTTATTAGAGTTATTTCTGCTTCAGCTTGTTTCCAACCCTGCTTTTATTTATAAAAGTGATTAAGAGTCGAGCACATTCTTCCTGCCTTCTTCTTAAGTCCTTTGGTCTTACTCTTAAGAGGCATTACAACGTCATTTCCTTCAGTGTTGATTTTTATGCTGGAATTTGTTCTCTTGACTTCACCATTAATATATCCAAAGCGGGAGATGCTCGTGGGAGAAAGATGTGAGTCACCCATGACCTTATCAGCCTCAACTGACTGATTGAGGTAGGTGTACCCATTCCTATTAACCAGAGGTTGATTTATATTAATCATATTTCTCTGTAAGCTTCTAGCGCCATTACTTTCATGAGGGTTGGACTTTATATGACCGTATATTTGTCTACTCATCCTATATAATATGATTCATTCTTCTCAAAAATTTAAAAGATTTCAAAATTGGCAAATTTCTTAAAAATGTTGTCAGAAACTACAATTTTGGAAGTAAATCACTCAAGACCATGGATTAGTTTGTGTTATCCATTACTGAAATGATATTTGATTGCATTGTAGCCAATTTATACTGACCAGGCGAGTCAATGCCCTGCAGCTAAAACACACCTGGTACTTGTTGCCTTCTTTATCAATAATTATATAAATTTTGATAGAATAATAATTTATGAAGCTTTCAACTTAAGTTGAGGTTTCTGGGGTTTTGGGGTTTTGGGGTTTTGGGGTTTTGGGGTTTTGGGG